AGTCCCGCATCGGGCTCCCTGCTCAACGGGAAGCCTGCTTCTCCCTCTCCCGCTCCCCCTGCTTGTGTTCCCTCTCTTGCTGTGTCTCTGTCAAATAAATAAATAAAATCTTTTAAAAAAAACACAAATATTAACAGCACATCTAATCTTAGACTGAAATCACTTTTTTAAAAGATTTTATTTATTTGAGAAAGAGAGCAAGTGCATGAGCGGGGAGGGTGGGGTGGGCAGAGTGAGAGACAGAAGACTCCCCGCTGAGCAGGGAGCCCGACTAGGGACTCGATCCCAGGACCCAGAGATCATGACCTGAACTTAAGTCAGACACTTAACCTACTGAGCCACCCAGGTGACCCTGAAATCTCTTAAAACATCGTCCCCACTTGGGCAAGTTGCTGTGTCCCCCAGAAAAAGGAAGTAACAATGGAGCATCCTTTACACCCCACCTGGGATCCTTACTATTCGAATCCAGTTTTCCAACTGCATATTTCAGTTGCAAATATTTCCGACACTTCTCTGTGAGTATAAGGAACGAACATGATGGTATCTCACACTCAACTTCTGGAGAATAGCTACCACTTATCCAGTACCAACCATCTGCCAAAGACTACTAATGACGTGACACACACTTCACTTAACCTGTACTAAAGCTGCCCTAGATGAAACTAAGCTCACAATAAATTAAGTAACCTGATAAAGGTCATAAAAATAGTGGCAAAGCCAGGACATTAGCTCTGATGAAGAGTCTACAACTGAGGCTGAAACTCCCAACCAGCAAAATGAGTGAAATCAGAATACTTTTTAGACTCAAATGGCTGCAGCCAACCATGTTACAGCTGAGAAGCGTAAGGTCCTTCCACGTAACTGCCCAGATTCACCTGGACATTTGAAAGAACCCATCAAGTCCCCCAACTCTGATCATACAGCCTCTCCGGCCCCTGTGGCTTCCCTCGGTGCTGTCATCCCAGCTCTCCAACCTCGTGCCTTGATGCAGCTTTTGGGCGACGCAGGGAGGTACCAATGGAGCACTGAGGAGACCAAAAGCGGAACCTCCTTAAAAAGGACAAAGCCGAACTTCAGACTCTTGGCAGGTCGCATTCTGGGCCACGCCGACCCCACAAGCCACCCCCCGACCCAGAAGCAACGAGCTCAGAGGTCACCTTGACCCCAGCTGATGCCAGGCCCAACTTCCGCGCCGGACCAGCCCCGCCGGGGAAGCAGCTACAGAATGAGCAGCCTCAACGGCCGCTGCAAGCAGATGCGGAAAGGGGCCGGGAGGTGCGGGGCGAGCCAAACCCGACCGCAGGCAGAAATCCCGCCCGGCTCCGGCCTCACGACTGCCAGGCGCAGAGGCTCGGGCGACCACTTCTGTCCGAGACGGCCCGCCGCTATCAGTACCTGCGGGCTATAGGCGTCGGAAGCCCATGTTCCAGTCAACTTCTGCGTGAAGCCACTAAACTTGTAATACATGACGCCCGGTGTCCGGCTTCCCGCAGCCGCTACCTGCGCGACTGCCCCAGAGAAGGACCCTGCTTTCCCTGCCGCCGCTTTAAGTCTCAGCCCAAGGACCCTGCGCCAGGAGCCGGGCTGCCCGGAGATCGCCTAATTTATAACATGACCTCTTCAGCCATATCAGGGAACAAGAAGCCGGAGTGTCAGGGCCAAGAAGGCAAAAGACAGCTCTAGCAGAGCGCAGAAGGCCGCCGTAGCGGGGTCTGTAGGAAGCACGAAATTCCCGCCCCCCCACCACGCACACATTTTGATTCGGGCAGTGCTGAGACGCCTTAAGAAATGCGCAAGCGCCCCGCGAACCAGGCCGGAGGCTGAGGGACTCGCCAGGATCGAGTGGGGCGGACCTTGGGCGGGGCCTGGGGCGGGGTCTGGGGCGGGACGGGCGGGGAGAGCTAGAGATGAGGGGCCACCAGTTGGTCCTTGGATGGGAAAGCTTCTCTTCCTTTACCAAACTTGCGCAGAGTCTCATTTCTTTCTTCCCCTCCCTAGGTCATTTGGTAAAGCGCCCTGCTGTCACTCAGTCGGAGTATGGACCCATTGGCCAGGCTTCTGCAGCAATCTGGGAGTGGGGGAGCAAATAAGAAAATGTGGGATCGTCTGCTGAGAGCTTTTTAGTACAGAGTGTTGTTAGTGGTTTCACCCCAGTAAATATAAGCTCTTAGGTTTTGTGCAAAAGAAATACATTGTGACCTAAACTTCAGACACCAGGATGTAAATTTTGCAGTTTCTCAGAACTGGTTTTTACTCTTACCTGAGTTTTATGGGAAGTGGTTGGTTATTCCTTCTTTGCCAGGCCTCTGCCCTTTGAGGTAAATGAGGTGGGAAATGGAGAGGAGGTAGACTAGAAACACTTGAAAAATTTGGACCTTGAGCCTGGAAGAGCCAGGACTACCACTTTAAGTTCCAGTAGTGTTCCTTTAGTTCAATTTAAAGATGTTCTTTAATTAAAAATAGAAATACAGGGCTCCTGGGTGGCTCAGTCAGTTAAGCGACTGCCTTCAGCTCAGGTCATGATCCCACAGTCCTGGAATGGATCCTGGCATTAGACTCCCTGCTCAGCAGGGAGTCTGCTTCTCCCTCTCCCTCTGCCCCTCCCTCCCCACACTCATGTGCGCTTGTGCGCGCGCTCTTTCTCTCTCTCTCTCTCTCTCTCAAATAAATAAATAAGATCTTCTATTTTTTTTTAAGATTTTATTTATTTATTTGACAGAGACACAGCGAGAGAGGGAACACAAGCAGGGGGAGTGGGAGAGGGAGAAGCAGGCCTCCCGCCGAGCAGGGAGCCCGATGT